CTTGGCCTTCCCTCTGGGCCGGAGGCAAATCCCCTCCCTGTCCTTCTTCCTTCCTGCCACAGGCCCCGAGCTGAGGACGGAGAGCACAGAGGACAAATCCTCCCAGCAGAACCTGGTGGGAGAGGCCATTTTGAGCAGCTCCACGGTGCAGGAAGGCAGAGGGGAGGAAAAGGGCCAGAGATCCCCCCGGAGGAGGGGCTCCAAAGCCAACCTGGGGTGCTCTGAGGAGGAAAGACCCAGCCTGTGCTGGGAAGGAGGCCAGAGCTTGAGCCAGAGCTCCGACCTGGTGGTCCCTGAGCAGCCTCCCAGCAGGGAGAAGCCCTTCAGGTGCTTGGAATGTGGGAAGAGCTTCAGGAAGAGCTCTGACCTCCTCACCCACCAGCACATCCACACTGGGGAACGGCCCTACACGTGTGGGGAATGTGGGAAGAGCTTCACACAGAGCTCCAGCCTGCTCCGACACCAGCACATCCACACTGGGGAACGGCCCTACACGTGTGGGGAATGTGGGAAGAGGTTCAGGGACAGCTCCAGCCTCCTCACCCACCAGAACATCCACACTGGGGAACGGCCCTACACTTGTGGGGAGTGTGGGAAGAGCTTCAAGTGCAGCTCCAACCTCCTCATCCACCGTCGTATCCACACCGGGGAACGGCCCTACCCGTGTGGGGAGTGTGGGAAGAGGTTTCAGACCAGCTCACATCTCCTCGACCACCAGCGGACGCACACGGATGAGAGGCCCTTCCGCTGCACCGACTGCGGGAAGGGCTTCAACCAGAACTCTCACCTCGTCATCCACCAGCGCATCCACACCGGTGAGAGGCCCTACAAGTGTGGGGAGTGTGGGAAGAGCTTCACCCACAGCTCTGCCTTGATCAAACACCAACGGACCCACCCGTAAGGGAGGCCCTGCGAGTTGCCTCGATTGCGGGAAGAGCTTCAGTCCATCCCTTTCTACCCCTTTCACAGGGGCAGGTTCTTCCAACAGAACCTATGGCATATTAATACAATACAAACCTCATAGACCTGGCTAGTTTGGGGGTTCTCAGCCAATTCCTCTTCATTCAAATGAGACAACAGTTTATATGTGGTTTAACACATCGCACCGGCGCGGCACGCCCGGCTCGGCCCCGGGCACGGAAAGGAGCAAGAGAGGGGGAGCTTCACCAGTGCAGGCTGTGCCATCGTGGGAGACGAGAGGGGGAGCCCAGAGCACACAAAAGAGAAGGACAACTCCAAACCCGGGCAGATGGAGGTCG